ACTGCTCCTTGCTCAAAGCTTCTTGATCTCCAAGCTCCTCTCACCTAGATTCACTTTCCAAGCATAAACACACAAAGATGGGGACAAAACACGATTTAGGATTTCTGGACTCAAGGGGGTTGTAAGGGAGGCTAAGGGGGCTAATGACCTATTTAAATAGGGTGCAAAACCCCGAAAATTAGGGTTTCATCCTCCAGCTCCAACTCGTTTAATCTGTCCTCTGACTCGTCGAGTTGGCCACTTAAAACCCGTGACCAAAACCGCACTTACTCGACGAGTCGGAGCACCCAACTCATCGGGTCAACCTTAAAAGTTGGAAATATAAGACTGGAAGTTTATACCTGAGATTTGGGGTGTTACACCTACCTAAAATAGATTCAAATTTTATTACGACATCGCTCTTCAAAGTTCGAATCGAAAATATGGTTCCTAGCCTTAATTTAAATTTTGGTTAAAAATTATGGATTAAAATCAACTAACTTGAATTCTATTTTCTCTTAATTTTAGATGTCTGATGAAGATAGAAATGGTCTTCCTTGTTCTTTTGGAAATGTTTTTTCTCTTCTTTCTGAAGATGATCTTCCACATTCTGATCAAGGTGAAAATGTTATCCCTTCTTCGAGAATTGGTGGAACTGGACATCATGCTTCTTCAACTATTCCACCACATCCTGTGACTCTCCCAACATCGCGTTTTCCTCAAGTTGAAAGACATGATACAACCCAAGCCCTATTGGCATGTAGACATCAAGATGGAAATTATGTGTGTGTGCATATTCTACGAATGAAATCATACCTTGACTAGTTGGGTAGAATGGGTAACGTTTTTCCAAGGGAGAACGCCATTGATTCCGTTATACTCTAGCTTCCTAAGTCATATGGTCAGTTTGTTGAAAACTACCATATGAGGAAACTCGATGTGACCCTAATTGATCTAACCCAAAATTTGATAGTTGCTGAAGCATAAATGCTTAAGAACACATTTGAAGCAAAGTTTCTTATAGGGTATAATTCCAAGCTTTCCATGGACATTGGTGATGGTGACATTGGTGGTTCAGAAAAAATTTCTCTTTCCAATGGAAAGGGATCAACCAAGGTCACACAGTTTCATCGTATTATAAAGAGAAATGCTTGTCCTGAGATCATCCCATGTGTTAAGCCTAAATATTCCATTTGTTTTTACTACAAATTGAGGGGACATTGGTTGCAAAGCTGCACAAAGAACCTGAAAGATCTCAAACATGGAAAAGTCAATTCAAATGACTCTACTTCAGGTACATCTATTATCTAACTCCATTATTTTTCGAAGTTCCTATTCATAAACACTTAATACATTATGTGATGATCACATTTAACGTTATTTCATGATCTAAGAGAAAGAAAGAAGCTTAAGCAAAGTGAGCTAAATCTAATCGTGGGAAATGGACTTTGGTTACATGGTTCGATGATCGGAATTTGGAGCTACTACTAAGGAGTTATGATAATTTAATAGATTGATATTACTCTTAGGAGATGTCTAGAAACATAGTTTCTCATTTTATGCATTGTAAGGACAAGTTCCAATTTTTTTCGTTTGTTTTCAATAAGAGTGAGATTTTGGTTTATCCAGTTCCCTTATTTATATTTCCTTGCAATGAAATTTATGAAAGTATTGGTTACATTTCTAATATTAGCAATATTAATTATGGATTTGATTCTTATGATATCGCATGTGGTATTGTCATAATTGACCACTTGAAACAAAATCTCATCACCAATTAGACAGATGCTTGGTGTTGTACAAGTCGTATTATATAGTGTATGAGAATTTTGTTCATTGAAAAATTATAACTAATTCATTGGTCACATGTTTATGTGAGACAAGTGAAGGATTGTTGGATCTAGTACGTGTTCATATGGACTATTTAGATGCGTCACAAAGGACAATAACTCTATTCGTCATGATTTACTGATGCTTCAGTAATTGTGGTTGTGTTTATGAGATTAAGCATAGTTTTGATACTTTGAAAATAATTCAAATAGTAGCATAATGAATAATAAGAATCTATTAGGAATAAAGATACAAGATTCTCCAACATGAGAAGAAATGAGAATGATTTAGTATCATGTTTTATGATCATCTTAGTGATTGTGGATTTTTATCAAAATTGATCCTCGAAGAACATCTTAGTGCAATTGTATGACTAAGAAAAGGAATCAAATATCGTTGGAAATAATTCGATAAAGAGATGAGTCATACTTAATTCCAAATCAAGTTGTAGATC